CTCGCCACCGTCTCCACACCGTCCTGCTCACATGTGAGCGAAATTGGCATCGTGATGGAGTATTCGGCCTTTTGAGAGCCGTGACCCACTCCTTGCACATGCAGTGGTGTCGCCAACCGCTTTTGCGCGGGACAGAGTTTGTGTGATGAACATTTTTCGGCCATCTTGCGCACCCAATCTTCACCGACAAGGTTGGTATATGCACCTGGGTCAACTAAGATGGCGCTACACTGATCTGCTTTTGGCAGGACCGAGTATGTCCACCAAGGGAAGCTTTCGAAATTATTGTAAGGAGATGGTGTGTCCCCAGCGTCGGGATTGCTCGCGCGAGGAGGGGTGGACACATCGAAATCTTCTGGCCGAGAGCTGCGAGCTCCTGGAGTCTGTGCTCGAACCTGGGGCTCCTCAGAAGGGGCCCTTGACTGGGGAACAATTGCTTCACCTTCAGACACAGCAACCTCACATCCTTCAATGTATGAGAACCTTGCAACGATACGGGCACTGCCGCGGCAAATGGGGCAGCACAGGAAGCCGTGCTCATGCATCAAGAACTCAGTCCAACAGTTTGCGTGGAAGACATGTCGGCACGCCAGACGGAACACCGTCTCTCGAGGTTGGTACTCCTCCTGGCACAGCACACACTTGCCTTCCACAGCTTCGTAGGTCTGGTTGTCAGCAAGTTTGGGCAGATCGAACGTTCGCTTTTGAAGCCTCTTCGCTTCCTTGCGGCGTGCTTGAACAGCAACTTGCGCTGATCTGAATTGATCCACGAAAGTGGCACTGCTGCTGCTGGGTTCCAGACTTGACGTGTGTGCAATGGATGGAGCATCTTGCGTGGGCCTTCCGAGCCACCGCTTGGCTACTGCCTCGTTTACTTGGAATATGCCTTCTATCAGCGGGGTCTGAGTGGCATCAACTTGGGACACTCCTGGGTCTCCAGACCCCGGCAGTCCTGGAAACAAAGGCATGTGCGGTGGGTCACGGTAGAGCAAGGGCTGTGTCACAAATCCCAACTCAGGCAGCTCGGCCCACGCAGGCAATGTGGGAGGTTCGCTGAGCCAAGCAGTTGTTGTAGGTCGGCCAGCGGTCTGCCACGGGGTGCTGGCCAGATTCCACATGCTTGCTTGTCCACCGTCGCTCGGTGTCGGTCCCGATTCTGGCGGATTCGGCATTGTGCGATTCTGGCCTCCGGAATGCACATGGTTCCTCGGAGGCTGCGGATTCGGGATAGTTGTGTTGGGGCCTCCGGAAGTTACACGGGTCCTCGGAGGGATCGGCTCATGCTCGGGGCTGAAATTAAAAACACCGTCTTGGCGCAAGTACTCGGCCCATGGGTCAGCGGGCCGTTGAGAACCTTGACTTGAGGCACTTGGGTATGTCCAAGAGCTCTCGGTTGCACTGGGCGGTACTTCATCGGGAGCTGGGGCAGCCATGAAGATAAGGCCAGCCAGTGGACCTTCATTGTACACCGACTGTGCCTGCGGCTGAATGCCGTCAGGCTGCTGCACCCAGAAGTTGGATGGTTGACCACCGCTGTGCGCAGGAGCACTGCCTCGCTGCGGGCAGACGCGGCTCAAGTGCTGTTCGCTTCCGCACTTGAAGCAACGCATGCGCTTCCCGTCTTTGCCAATGGGGTTCTCTCTACGACCTTTGCCTTTGCCAGAGCTGCGCTTCCCTGATCCTTTTCGGAAGCCTTTGAACACCTGCTCCACCTCATGTTCCTCCAGTGAGGCTAGGAACGCACCGACATTCGGACGGCCTTTGCCTGGGAAGCCTTTGCTTGGGAAGCCTTTGCCTTGCCCCTGGCCTTTGCCTTTGGTGCGAATGTATCGGCGGGTGAAGCGTCGCACTGCTCGCGTGGGTTTCTGCATGTGTCTCCGCCATTGAGACTTTGCATGTTGATATGCCCAAAACAGCTGCTCAGTGACATCCTCCTCACCTTCAGGCAGGGGCTCTGGGAAAGGCATGCCACTCGAGGACGCTGTGTCAGTGTCGGTGCCGGCATCCGATTCATTGATATCCGGTTCATCAGCTGGCATAGCGGCACCTGCCCACCCGTAGCCAGAAGGCTCGGACTGTTGGTCGTGTCCTTGGCCTTCATTTGGCTCTGATTCGGGATTCAACAGGAATGCTCGTTGTCCTCTTGCATTGTTGTCTCTCAGACTAGATGCTATGTTACCTGGGGCATGCTCCAGCACGTGCCCCATGCGTCTCAGCTGGACACGCAGTGCTTGAAGGTTTGCGGCACGCGCCCTTGGAACGGCTGCAGTAGCTGTATAAGCTGTGTATCATTCACCCCAACGGCACGGAGCAGGAGCCATACAAGACCTGTGATGCTCATGGTGCGCTGCCCCTGATCGTATGCACGTTGTCGGAGAATGTCAAATCTGGCAAGTAGGTCATCTACGGTTTCATACGAGCTACGTCTGCCAAAACACAACAGCTCAGTAATAGCCCCAAGTCTTACTTCATCGCCTAAGGCTGCAAACCGCTCAGACAATGCATGAAGTAAGAATGTCAGAGGGTCCACTTGAGCACCGTTGACAAAGCCTCCATTAATGAGCGCTGCGGGCGGAATCGTTCTGAAGAGCTCCTGAGCACTTCCACGAAGTTGCATGCCCACTAATGCCGCTTTCCTAGATGCATCCATGTCTGTGGCGATGGACCATACAAGTAAATCTTGAGCCCACTGCCTGAAGGGATATTGTGATTGGCGAGAGGGGTCCCAGGAAGGGGGCAGTCGCTGGCTACTGGTGCCGGGCATCATTAAGCATAAGTAACCAACGACAGCCGTAAAGGTGAGGACTAAACCGAATCCTAGAACCAGAGGGGTCTTAGGGATTGGGAAGTGCAGTGCTGGCACTCGCAGCCCATCGATGACCTGCATAAGCGATGAGCGTCCTTCGCTCATTCCTTGCACAGGCAAAGTTGGCGTTTTCAGGCCAGAGGATGACGCTGCATCATCTGCTGTGCTTGCAACTTCGATGAGCATGCACAACACGATGAACACTCCAAGCCACTGCTTCAAGACTCCTGGCGGCAGACGCGTCGTTGAGGCAACACGGCCGGCCACTGCTCGTCTGGCTTGTGTCACACTCATGCTGCGTCGTGCTCTGCTGCGATGTCAACGCCAAAAAGTATTCGTCTGCAACGTCAGCGGCGGCTCCGTGCAAGTCAATGTACGTCGCGTCGTGTTCCGCTCGTCCGTTGAAGTCGTAGCTATCGCATCCCAGTCCGGTGTGTCGCGTGCCATTCGTCGTGTCGCGTCCCAGTCCGGTGTGTCGCGTGCCAAAGCACCACCACAACAAAAGTGAACCTTGCGGTAGTTCATCTCGCAACAGCCTCCACGGCACTGTCCGTACCTTCCAGGCTTGCTCCGGGTAGCTGTCGTCAATGTACCACCCCTGGCTTTAGACCAATGCCTGCGGGTCTCCGATGCGAAACGTCTCCACGAAGATCGCAAGATTCTCCGTGGAAACGTCTCCCAGCGAGGGCCTGCTAGCAATGGCACAAACGGGGCCTCGGTACGCGGATCACCGGTTAAACCGGCTCCGCTACCAAGTCCGAAAATCATGAGCCCTATCAGCACGCAAACGAAAGGAGGTCTGACTGACATGTTGGGCTGAACCTCAATGGGCCTTTTCTAACTCTGACTGCTGAGCTCACAGTGCTGCCGGGAACTGTACATGTCCTGTGAGGTACCCTGCTAGTTCGCAGACGCCTCAGGCTTTGCAGTGCACGCCCAAATCGAAATACGACAGACGAATGATTTGCGAAGCTGATAGCTTCGCCTTCGGTGCCATTACGAGGCCAAGTCCTATTGTTGCATGGTAATTGCATTGTAACTAACCATCGAAGCGGAATCATCTAGGTTTAGGGCCTGGGGGCTTGGGAATCCATCCAAGATGAAGTTCAAAAACAAAGCTTTCGGCAACAGCAAGTGGCGTTTAGGGTTGGGTTTGGGGTTGAGTGCTGGGTTTGGGGTTGGGTTGAGGATTCCATTTAGGAACAAAGCCAAAATGGCTTCCAGGCAGCAGAGCTTGGCGGAGGAAGCAGCTTCTCCAGAGTCGAGGGCTTGGAAGTGTCTTAATAGGATGACCCTCGCCTAGCTCAACGATTTTTACGAAACAGTAAGTGCTGGCAAGGATTTACGACGCCTTGATACGGTAGCATGCTCATTTCCACAAGGTGTGTGCCATGCGACGCTGCGTAAGTAAGCAACGCATCGCCTTTCACAGTCCAGAGTGAGATTCATACGTCCGTCTCTGCGCGCTTCCGGCGCAGCTCGAGCCAACCTTGCCTCCAGAAAAACACCATCTAAACGCAAGCACCGCAGCCCGCTTGAACGTTTGGGTCCTCCACCCGCCACAGCACAAACCCCATCTAAACGCAGTCAAATATGGAATATCGAGGTCTGTAGGTCTGTATGTGGGATGGGCGAATCACCATGTAGCGGCTTGAAAGGCACGACTTCCAAGAATCGTTTCCCCGAAGGCTTGCAAGCAATCAAGCAAACCGGGCACGACTTAAGCAAGTCCCTGTCGCGGATGCTCTCAACACTCATTCTCTCGGTTGGCCACTTGGGATCGGCTGTTTGATGTTCAACCGCATGCAACCCAGTCCTTGGGGTACTGATCCTTGAACTTTTGCAAGTACCTATTCTGACACAAAGCATGTCATGAATCAGATGCAGAAGAACGGAAGCTGACCCCGCAACTACTAGTACAAAAAGCAATGAATATCCTCGGAGAGGTTCGCACAGCACCAGTCACGATTCACTAGCAGGTTCGGAGTGATGGGCTCTGCAGACCCATCATGAACGGATCGACTGCTTGGTGATGGCTTCTCTTGTGAGTGTATGAGCTTCCTCATGGCCCGTGAGGTCTCAGGCGTGTCTCATCGTGATGACTTCGCAAGATCCACGGCGCGCACCAGTTGTGATGAGCGATGGCCTCGGGTTTGTTGGAAGGGCTTAGGACAAGGATGTTACCTGTTGGAAACTATCGATGCAGCCAAAGAGCTCTTGGCCCGATATTGGCAGCCTGTCACACCGCTTTCACGACAGAGAGAAGGGTTTGTCTGCGTGTATGTTGATGGTTGCCGTTGCTCCCGGCTTGGAGCCGCTCTTCCACGACTGTTTGAAGTTGTTGCTCTGCACGTGGGCAGGCTGGCAACATTGCAAAGTTTTGCAGCAGCTCGTAGGACTGCTTTTCGTGGCGCTGGTCGCAATCTACTGCCATGATCTGCGAGACCCTGAATACAGGCTGAAATTGCCCCCATGCTGAGTCCGTGACGGTGCACAGCGCAAAAGTTAGCCCTGGCAGGGCGAAGCCCATCGCCTCGATTGCGCCGCAAAGCGGCAGCTGGGCATGGGTAGAGGAAGTCCCAGAGCCGGACCAGAGCATAGCCAGTCCACTCAACGATCTCCCCAAAGAAGTTGGCACCTGGTAACATCTGTGAAGCGCAGAGTCTTACTCTGCCGATATGCCGAGCCCTGCAGCCAAACAAAGCCTACACACCGAAGGCATTCCACACGCGCTCGCGCGGTCCTGGCCTGAGATGTACTCAAACATTCCCCCACGAGGCACTTTGTACCTGGTTCAAACACCGTACGCACCATGCTTCTCACCTCACTATGTCCGACAACGGCTTGGTGCACCCCGTCTCGCCAGGCTTCCTGTGGTGCAGTCACTTCGATGTCTGCATGCTCTCCAGGCATGAAGCATCTGAATGTGGCCTCAGGCTTCTCAACCTGTGATCTGCATCCAAGTTGATGCACCTGAGTTGTGCCAATGTTGGATCGTATCTTGAGGCTCCTGAGAGTCTCTGCAATGCTACATGAGCTCGGCACAGTCCTGTGGCCCAAAGCACGATGCCGGCCAAAGTCCTGCCCACAGAGAAAAAGCACCGGCTGCTGTCGTGACCGCAATCGCAAGAGTGCGCCTCCATGACATTGGTATCACTAGGAACCTGCGCTGCCACTCTCCGCCGACTTGCCGCAACTGTTGAACCCTGGCCTTGTCAGGCTTCTGCACTGGATATAACCATTGGTGGCACAGAACCTGGACAATTGCCAACTCGGGAAGAATGTTGGCGCAACCACGAACCAGGAACAAGATCCGCCGACACAGAAATCGATCCGAGCCGTCAGAAAGCAAAACTTTTCTCACGCGACTCATGTCTTCTCTTGGATCTTTCGCGAACAAAACAATACACCACTGCGGGACAGAGGCGTGAGCCTTGAAGTACATCAACCGAGATGTCTGGAACTCGCAAAGCAGTTGCGTGTTCTCTCCGAACAGCTCAGGATGATTTGTTCGATGCTCAGTTGCAAACCGTAGTACACCCATCCAAACACGCAGGGGGCTCGACGAAGGCACTTCAAACGACTTGTCTGGTCCAGGGTGTCAAGGCTGTGGATATATGTACATATTACATATCTGCACGAACTGAGCTCCTGACATCATGGCCATCAGCATGACGGGCAATGGCACAGGCTTGGAGCCTTTCCTTGCTCTGTTACTGTTGGTTGCACTTCAGAATTGTCTATTCGCTCCAACTCTGCCGGGCCGAGTTTCATCCGCAAAGGGTAGATGACGGAGCGATTTACCTCGTCACTGTGCGCAAACCACGTCGCGCATAACGCTGCTCTATCGCAGTCACAAGTCAAGGCTCGGGCATAATGGATAACGAAGCACAACAGCACTGCACAATTGCCCAAGCCTGAGCTCAAGTTGAGTTCAACGGCATAACGCAGGATTTCTGTCGGTGATAGGTGTGATCCATCCTCGGCATCCAACGGCCCGCGGATGCCTGCATGGTCGGTAATGTAGCGACAAGGTGAGAGTTTGATTCAAGAACAGCACGACAAGCAGCGAATGTCGTGTACCAAGCTCTGGCACATTGTCACTGCTGTTGACTTGTTCGGTACGATGCCATTCGCAACCCGAAGTTCGAGACCTCGTCTCCGGTGGCCCAGCACAGGCCAGCCGCGATCAGAGTGGGGCCTGGCGCTTCGATTCAACACACGAGCACTGTTCAATGGCTGCGCGACACACTGAGGTGGTGACACTCCTGCAAGATCCAGGCCTTGTGAAATGACAAAGGGTTTGAGCCCGGCTACAAAAAACAGTCGGCAACTTTTTTCGTGTTGCCTGACGAGCATGACGCCGACGCAAAAGTGCGCTGAGAACGGCTCTGTCCGCGCGCTTATGTCGCAGGAAGCCAGCGCCTGGATAAGCCGGCCTGGAGCTCAGAAATCCGCACAGACGCGGCACAGACGCGAGTTCGAGTTCCAGCAAACATCGGTGCCTTGCTGGCCAGCGGTGCCTGAGGTAAGCCAAAGTCGAACCGTGACAGCGGCATACCATGGCATACCGAACACGACGCAGCATGCCCCGGACCGCCAGCACCCCCGTATGCTTCACTGACCATTGCCGTCCGTTTCACGTGGTCCGGGTTGCATTTGCTCGCAGTTGAATTTTTTTGTCAGCCCAGTTGCTGTGATATCTGCCATAGGGAGCCGCTACCTGTCCAAACCGTCAGCACAAGCTGGCATGCTCTGTGCGCGATCTGACTCGTCGCCACGTCGCTTCTTTTTGATGCGTCCTCTGCTGCACAACCAGATTTGGGAAAAGAAAGCCTGCAGCAGTTGCTTGAAGAAGGGAGTCGCTCGCCACGATGACACGAGTCAGTCGAGGCTGGTCTAGGCAGCAGCAACATACTCGAACATGTTCGATATCTGCAGCTTTGACCTGTGCTTTGTCTGTCCGTCTCTCTGTGCTTCAGGGCCAGGGGTTAGCGACTGGAAAACTCGCGGTGAGATAAGAGCCACTTTGGCTACTTTGTCTGCACAGGAGTGCAGTGTGCTGCAATCACAAGCTTGAAGCAACCTTAGAGATTAGAGAGTGTTGAAGACCCCTCGAAGTGCTCGCACCTGAGTGCCCCTGTGTCGGCCTGCTGCATGCTCGGATTGCAACCATGCAAGATTAACGGACCGAAGCTTGCCTGCCAAAACAGGTCTGGGACTTATGACTTACGGTTACATCGCACCAACGCTAGGACACAAGAGAGAGATGGACTTGTGGACATGTTGTTAGCGGCACATGCTGGCTCGGTCCAGTCGTAAGGCCGCCTTTGCTTCCAAAGGTGGCACGGTGTTTGTTGCAGGTCAAACCTAGCAATCTATGTCAGCAAAACGACTCGGCCCCGAGGCACCGAAGTGATCAAACGGTCTGCCCAGTCTTGGAGCTCCCCAGGTACCAAGGAGCCAAAGCCAAAGCCTCTCAAATCGCGGAGGTGCCCTGCGCAGATGACGATGCCGGCCGCCCGAACATGCCTCAAAAGCAGCTTCAGGAGCAGCCACAAAGCACGATTGCAAACTTGGGGTGAAAACTGGGACTGCTTGGGAATGATGTCGCCCACCAAGCCGCCAGTGCGTAGCCAGTCGCTTGCAACAGACCAGCGATTTCGGCTGGAGAACAGCTTGCCTTGAAAGGCGAGCACAAGCATGCAGCGGCTGCAGCACTTCAGCACTTCGTCTCGAATAAGTCCGTGCCAGGCGCTGAAATAGGTGGACCGCCAAATCGCAAATCCTGCGGGTCCCATGACTCTCAGTTGGTCCTGGCACGGCAAGGCTGCTCTGCATTGCCCTGCAACGAGGGGTGAGGCTCAGGAGGATCAGTCCGTGTCACCATAGAGGGATCGCCACCACATGTGGTCTGTGACAGAGGAGCGACCCAGCCTAGGAAATCAAAGCTGAGCAGGTGCCTTGTTTGCTAGTTGAAATTAGAAGGACCGAGGAGCTTGATGAAGGCGTTCGGGTCAATCTCTGCCGCACCCTGGGAGTCCCCGATGTAGGCCATTGTGCCCTGATGACCTCACATTGCAAGCACGTGGAAGCAGCATGTCGCTCTGCTGCACCGGTTCTCTGCTGCATCCGTGGAGGCCGCGACAGTATTTGAAAGGCGCCGCTTCCTCGGTTGGTTGTAGTCGTGAGCAACGAAGCTTGTGCATAAGCTGCAACGAACCGAACACTTTGTTTGGCTTTGCCTTTCTGACAAGTCTATCACTATCAAGTCCCGAGATATACGATCCTACAGTAGTGCTTGTTATCTCATGTACCTGTTGTAGTTTCTTCCGTGTTGTGGTGTGTTCTATTACGTTTATTGTATTATTTATTCCTAGGTTGATACGAAACTTGCCTGGCTAATGCACAATTAGTGCGCTTATGCGCGGCCTTCCATAAAGGGCTGGAGCATCGTTCCGATCTGTAAAGCTTGCCTGCTAACACCACTTCTGTGCAGGCAACTACTCCAGTTGTTGAGCCGTGTCGCTGGGTCAGAGATGAGATGTTCCTTGCCCAGGCGGAACATGCGCCCCAGGTACTTGCCTTACACGAACTCATCCGCAAATCATTGAAGGGTCGCCGTGCCGTGTCCGCTGTGATGCAAACAAGAGGCCTTGCTGATACGCCACCTTCAAGTAAGGCCACGTTCCCGCCACAACTTCTTGTTATGAAGGGGGCAAACAACACTCCGAACGCTGAGACCGGCAGCCTGTGCAGTTGGTGGCTTTCCGCTAACGGCGCAGTCACCAATCGCGAATACCTGGACCAGAACGCGAGCGAACCGACATGGAGATGTGGAAAGTTGCCAATACCGTGTCCGGAACTCGAAGCAGAACTATGCGAGCCTCACCGAGCTTCGTGCCCTTTACTCGCAAGCACTCGTCCACCAACAACCTGGAGTAGCCGCCCAATTCGGGCAATGTCTAAAACCCATATAGACTATCGTTGCCGGCTTGAGGGCACATATAACCCAAAGACAAAGACACCTTGTCCGGCCGGCGCAGAAAACAAAGGAAACAGCCACACAAACGAGTCGAAATCTTCAGGCAGCTTGCTGCAGGCAGGTAGAGTTGAGCGACAAGGTGGATTCAAGCATAGCGAAACTGCGTGTTTTCATCATCGTTCCGTGGACAAAGCGGGCTGGTGGTGCAGAATTTGCGCCCTGAAGTGACAGCCCAGTGGCCCACGTCGATCTGTCTGTCCATTCTCCTTCCGTCACCCATTAAACTCAACATACCAAGACCGCACAAACATGCAGAGGGTGTACGAGCCACGTGCCAGAGTTCAGCCCTGCTTCACTTGTTGCAGGCTGGAAGAGAACGTCTGCACGAGAAAGCTTGTTCTGAACGGGAAGGTGCATAGGAGTCCTTGCCAATCTTCTCGCACACCGACCGGGTGAAGGGCCTTTCTGTTGCACAGTTGTTTTTGCCATGCTTTGCTCTGTGCCCATGCGACATCACATCTTGCGGGAACAGACTCACTTCCACGACTCAACTTTCAAGCACGTCCCACCTCATGCCGACACCTGCCACCCACACGAGGATGCCATAGTCCATGTCGATGACACCTTCCTCTCCGCGTTCTCACGTGTTTGGATGTCGTGGGTAACGTTCGCGGTTGGTCGTGAGGGTTGCGAACCGGCAGCTTCAACGGCTGTCACTGACAGAGCGGAATGACCACTAAATCAGGTGGCGAGTCGATAAATCATGCCGTGTAGACTCTCGGTCGGTGCCCGAAGCTCTTTCACGTCGTGCCTTGGTCTTCAAGTGGACCTTCTCTGGCTCCACCTCTTTGACCATGGCATTCCTAAGATGACCAAAGCTGCGTTTCTTGTGCCGAAGCTCGAAGGCTTTCAGGTCAGGACACGAAGTTACAGCACCGTTTGTAACGCCGAGATCATGCAGCCACGCTAGCTGCAAAACTTGCCGCCAAAGTTCAACTTCACGTCCACGCCCTGGATCAGGACAGCGTAGAAAATTGGAAAAAGCCAGAAACATATATGAATCCTCATGTAGGACCTGCCTACTCACTTTGCTTTGCCATGGACATGGGCCGTGAGCAGTCCTCACGACCCTCGACTTCGTGCAACCCCGTCCTTCATATTGAGGGATAAGCTCCGCTGTGCAAAATCACTCTCCGTCTCGACATTATCTTCACGAAGACCTAACGTCCCCCCGTCGAGCAAGTGTAGACAGGTGAGGCACAGGAGGTTAAACGAAAACCTTGTCTTCCCACAATCCGTCAACCAGGTTGTAAGCTCGTCATTGCAAAGCACAGGTCCAGTTCGGGAAGGCTGCAATGATCCAATTGGCAAATGCGCTACCAAAGTCATTCTTTCCGCGAGCTAGTTGGACCCGCGCCTTAGGTGCCCCTCCCTTTCCAGAGAAGGAGACATGTGGCCCTCAGCAAAGGAGTTCGTCTACTCCGCGGCGCGGTGCAACTCCGACCCTTCACACTATCTCACATCCCTGCCTCGTCCCCGTGCCCTCTATGGCACTATCCTGCGCCCCTTCGACAGCCAAGTCCCCTTTGAATTTGCAGTGATGCTTGTCTGCTGCCGCTCCCTCAACACCGTTGAATTCACCACTAGTATAGGTCTGCTACGCCAAACTCAACAACTTCTCAAGGCAGGGCCTGGCTGGCAAGGTGGTCTTGCACATAGTTGCCTTGGCGCAACACAACGTCTAACAGTCTGATTTCAGATTTCCGCAGCATGCAGGGCCGCAGGGCTCGTCGACATCATGGCACCGTCTTGTGATGCACAGCAAGGGGCCAACAGACTTGTGGAACATGGTAAGGAGGCCTGGGAGAGCCTCCACAAGCGTGACCTGCTGCTCCGATCAAAGTCAGTCGAAAGCTGCAGGCTAGAACACTTCAAATTTGCGTGACGCTGGCCTGGAAGTGTTCTGCGATCTTGGGATACCGACCTGGTTGGGTTAACGTGTCGCGTTAAAGACATGAAAACAGAAGCGTTGTCCGGCATCTAAGTTCGATCGTGCTGCGCTTGATATCCTGTTTGATGAAGTCCGAGAGCTCACCGCAAAATTCGACACCTTAGACACATGTTCGATGCTCCAGCCCACGAGAAGCACGACAAAAGCACCGCGACTCACATGCGTCTCAGTTGCCTGTCGGTCCTCCACCGACGACTACGAAGTTCAAGAGTCTCTTCACCTCGGGCTTCTAGAACAGTTGGGAGCAGAAGCATGGTGCTGGAGAGTTCAGAAGCCGAGACCCTGGCGGTGGCCAAATCTCCGGAGGCATTGGCGACCTCGGCCTTTTCGATGATGTCCAACATCTCCTCGCAGAATGCATGCCTTGCATGCAGCCGGGGGCGGCAGCAAAGGAAAGGGGAAACCGTTAAAGCCCCGCGTTGTCCTTTCGCAGTGCTCGCCCGTGCTCGATTTCTTTCAGAAACCTTTCGGCGACTGACTTGGGTAAGGCAATGCAGCACTCACAGCTGCACACCTGAAAGGACTAAACTGATGATTCAAACTGCAGCTGCGCGTTGTCCTGGGTTAAGCCGATACTTGTCTGCAAAGGATTTCTGGATTCTGCGGAAACGTTGAGTGTCGAGTTTTGCCCGGATCGGCCCTGTTCAGAGTAGTGGCAATGTCGCTTGTATCCTCGGAAAGGATTTGTGTCACTGCCATTGGCCAGCCTGGTGCCTTTTTATTTCTACCTCTCTGCGATGCTGCGATAGAGGTACTGACAAGAAGCACATCCTTGTAATATACTGTCGCCGAGCCTGCCGTACTTGTCGACCCCAGGGATGCCGAAGGTGTTTGGCTGCGCGCCAACCTGGGTAAACGAAGCAGCTGCCGAGCGACGGCAGCGCTTAGCTGGTGAAGTTTCATCTGACAAGAGCCTGGGTCCTAGGAGCCCTGGCAGCCTTGATCTTGAACTCTTGGCGGCTCAGCTCCTTGCGGCGACCACGAGGTGATCGTAGTCCAAGGTGAGGCCGGTGTCACAGTGCACCTAATGTTAACATATACTGAACGAATTCGGCATTGTCGTCTGTTCACGGCAGCACGAGGGACGAAGACTGCCGGGAGCTGAAAACTTGTCGGTCCAGCCTTCTTCTCCTCTAGGTCTACGTCCTGGTGCAACGAACCGTCCCCAGGCTCACAGTTTCAGCGTGCTGCAGCTTGTAGCATCATGCCATGACAGAACTTTCCTCAACTGTTGATTCGCCCGACTCACCTCCGACTTTCTCACTCGGCCGTCAGTCCTTGCAGTGCACTCGCAAGAAGTCGCAGTTGGGGACGTTGTCGCGGATCGGCTCGATGATGGCACCTGAGAGCTGCACATGCCCTCCCGGAGCATCTTGAGTCTGAACACCGTCACAGGAAGCACGTGGAATCGGGAACATTGATGGAGTCTTACCATGAAGCTTTTCCCTGTGCAGTTTGAGGTTTGAACTAGCAGGTTTAAAGGTACAACGGCCAGATTTGTGAGAATGAGGGGCCCGCGTTCAAATTTGGTCTGGAAGGCGATGAAAGCAACAGTCTACAAACTGAAATGTTCCTTGGCTTTTCCTTCAGGTCTTGTGTGCCTTGACCCTGGATGGTAACTCGGCGCAAGGGGTTGCTGCTTGAATTTCTGATGAAGTCTTTCTTGATGCAGCAATCCCGATGACCGCCGAGTCGAGTCTGCGCACGACTACGCATCGAAACACGGCTAGCGTCTAGGGTTGCCCGGGTATTCAAGGCAATATAGACCGCCACTGTACCATTTCCGACTTTCCAACCACAGCGACTCACAGGTCCTTGCAGGATCTCTTGGATCACCTGCCTTCTCAATCGTGTGGAAATAGGCTGGTGTTTCAAGGCTATTCTGGGAGTGTTCGGAGACCATGCATCAGTTCGATTGCAAGGGAAGCTTGCCCGTCGAAGCTGCGATCTGCCTTGGCCCCTGACCAGGCGAAACGACACCAGTGGTGCTGCCGACCAGCAATGGTGTGTAGAAGAAGAAAGGCCGAGGGGAGACCACGGTCACCTTTGCCGGAGCTGTGGTGCACCAGCTCAGGCGCGACGCGACAACTCCTGATGTACACCGTCCCAGAGATCCCGCTGCCATCTCAGACTTTCTTGAGGACACCCTCAATTCCCAAACCCTTGTCAAGGGGCATCGAACTGCGACGGATCGAGCTTCCTCACGAAGGACAGCGCACCCCAGCCGGAGCCCAAGACCACCACCTTCCTTAATGCAGTGCTTGGGGCATCTTCTGACGGACATGAGCTGTCGAGGCCTCTCTTCCCTGCAAGCCCAAAAAGCCAGTGAAGGCAAAGACTTTAGCAAAAGGCTCTTCAAGCTCGGAGACTAGCTACCCTCTGTATCTTCAACACCTGGAGCCTGCTAAAACTGTGCATGTCCATCGATGTCATGAGCTGTTAAGGCTACATTCACATCCACAATGTGTTTGCTTGCCATGGCCAACTCACTTCTCGTTTCTCTGTCGCTTGGCAAGCTGCCGACGCTCCTGCTCCTTCTTGGCAAAGTGGTAAAAGACTCGATCCACCTCGTACCTGTTGAAATGTGCAGATTTCAGACTTCCAATGCCAGACGAATACACGTTATACCAAACAGTTTCGTCGATGAATAATTGTACAGCCCTGACTGCGGGTGCTTTATGTCATCCAGGTCGTCGTTGATCCACATGTGTCCAATCTTGACCTTCAGCGGTGTCCAAACAGGTGATGGTTTCACCACTCCTCCCAAGCGTAGTGTACAGTCTCATAAGCTCCCAGCACCGGCGAACGCAGTGGCGCCCAGGGCGCCCAGCTTCACCGTCCTGCGCAAGTATAGCACTCTCACTCATCCAAACGAGGCTGTTTGGATGACTGCGAAGCAACAAGATTCTTGACCCTAGCATCCCCCATGCGACAGCCGACAATGAAATGCACACGTGCTCGCGCCTGCGAGCAAGTCGGCGGAACATGGTGTTGGTGTTCTGATTGCACCGAACTGCTAGTTCCTACTCGAACCAAAGGTTCTGCGAAGCATGAGCACCAATGGCTCTTCTGAAGACAGGATCAGGCACAAGCTTCTTGGTACCACGCAGCTGTAGCATGCATGACCAAATGATGCAGACGTAACTGTATTGGATCATTTGCAAGTCCCGGAAATCGGGGCTGAGGCCGATGCCCCGCTTAAAAGGACGACTCCAGCAAGGAAGAAGTTGAGGATCAAGGCCTTGGCAGCGAGCTGGGGAGGCCCTTTACGAAAATACTGATTAGCAATCGACTCAAGAACTCCTTCCCAACACCTAGCTCGGGCTCCCCGTGCTGAAGGCTGCTGGCCCTCAGAACCGGACCGTACAAAGCCAAAAGATCAGTTTCTCCTTCGCATGAAGAGCTTAAGCAGCTTAGCGGAACGAATGCAAGGTCTTCCCACCATGGCGCATGCTTTCTGTCTGGCAAACATCTGGAAAGATTCATAGTACGTTCTATCCATGAGAAGGGCGTGGCCTCAAAGCTGCCCTCGCGCCATGAGAAGGAGTCGAGAGGCTGCATCGCTTCGGGCAAACGTGGGTCTTCGCAGCGATCTGTGGCGTCGCTTGGAGTTTCTGGGGCTTCATGCGCTTGCTCCTCGTGCTGAGCAGGTACGGCTGGGACGTCAGGATACCAGGTTGGTGGCTGCATTAAAGCAACCTGTCTTGGCTGTCAACACGCTTGGGCTCAAATAGCTGCCAAGAATGATCACTTAGTATCACTTATGTGCCGGGACCTTTTCCATTGCCACATGTCAGGGCATCTACATGGGTATCAGCCAGCCTCATGTCGACGACGTGGGCAGTCTGGTGTACGATGGATGGCAACAAAAGGCTGTCCTCAAAACTGGCTGCAGCTTTTTTGTATCTTTTTGGATGCAGGCGCTGTGTGGCTTTCCAATCCCATCACACATTCATCGAAGCTTCTCGGAAACCTGCGTGCTGGCAATGCCATACCGTGCCGTACTCTCCAGAGAGAGATAGAGAGAGAGAGAGAGAGAGAGAGATGGAGATAGAAATAGTCTGAGATAGAGATAGACAGGGAGGGAAGGGAGGGAGCGACAGAGCGGGAGCGAGACGGTGAGCGAGAGATGGAGCGCGAGCACATCAACGAATCGCCAGTGTCTTGATGAACCGTGTTGGCCCGACTTGCCGCGCCTGGCCTCATGTTGTTTTGGGCTTCCGGAAGTCGGGTCAACGCGTGTAGCGAAAACCCGTCGACCCAAAAACCAAAACAAACCCTTCGACAGCCCACTTTCCCCGCCTTGCTGACCGTGTCCAGGTAAGCCCCGGACCAGTTTTCTACCGTCGCGCGGTACCTGCGCAACAGTTTGCCAAAACAGAAACCTTTGGCTCACATCAGTGAAAGCATCGCTCGACCGTCGCACTGCTCTTCCGTCGCGGGGTTGAACCTCGACGGTTCGCTCTAAGGACGACTTCACGCCCGCAACTGCGCAAAGCTGCAGCTGCCGAGCTGGGCCACGGACGCCCCGAAACATGCGAAGCCTCAAAGACGCTGTCACGAGTCACAGCCCTGTGCAGACCCTCGCAGTCCGAGTTTGATGTTGCCTGCAATGACCTCCTCTGGCTAAGCAAGATTTAGCAAAGCCATCTCTTCAACGCCGTTGGAACCATAATTATATACAATACAACATGTGTAGTTTAGTCATCCATTTTGAAGTAGCAAATATGAGATCTTGGTTAAACGGTCAGCCACACGACACGTCCGAAACCTCGGTTCGACTGTCTGGCAGCCGATGCCAAAGCCGAACCCGCCAAAACTTGTTCGCAACACGTCTAAATGCTGTGAGCGAAGCCTGTAATGGTCTTTGAGCCGCTCTTGGTCACGTTAGCTTCAGATTGGACCTGCGGGCAGTGTCAGGCTTACCACGCCAGCACCATGACTGCAATATGCTGCCTACATCCGAGTCATTCAAACCCCAATCATGCCTGGATGAAGCTGGAGGGGAAGTCTTCGAACATGTCCTTGAAGTGCTCGTGTGCCAGGTTTTGTGCCTGTGGGTGCAACTCTTCTCAGCTCATACAGATCGGCTCCTCACTTGGGACACGAACTCCGATCCATCCAGCCTGAAGTTGCGAGGCGTCTGGCAACCCCATCTTCTCCTGACCAAGCAATCTATGCTGCTTTTTGTTCGGGGCTTGTGGGCGGATCTGCTCCACCAACATGGATCTTGTGAACGCTGCGTGTTCTCGTTCTCGTGTCTTATTCCGATGGTGGGCATAGTAGCTTTTGGAAAGAACTTCGCACTCTTTGGAACTACCCAGCTGGTGAGCGTCCTCCCACCGCTGTCGGAGCGATTCAAGCTCACCGCCGTAGAAGATCTCATAGGCAAACGCATACCTGACGAACTACTTAAGCAAGCCGTCTGTGCTCAAAAGTGCCACGAGGCCGGGCACGGAGTCTGAAGTTTGTCGTAGACCCAATCCAGGCAGGTACCTGGGCAGGAATAGCCGACCTGCGCGCAGGATGCCACCCCAGCCGTTGAAGCGAATCTATGACAGTCTGGTGCCCGGCCTCGCGCCCAGCAGCTCCGAAAGGGCATTCGCAGTGGGCCTAACAGCAGATTACCAGATACCCAAAAACCTGCAACTGCAAGCCTGAAGCCAGCACCAATCCCTGCAAAATCCAGGCTGGCCTGGTCCACTTCCTTCAAAATCCTGAGGACTGGAGGACTTGCAAATGACGGGAACCACAGCTCCGTCTCTCCGGGCTGCGGGCTCCATCATGGAGGCCTGATTGCGGTTCGCCAAGTGTTCCATGTCGAAGGCCCAGGGCATGTACATTCCTGGCGAGCCCGCAATTCGTACAACGTGGCCTGGTCTAACCCGACAGGTTTTCTGTGTGTGTGGGGTTCGAATATGGGTGTGGCGATGTCTTGGATGCAGAGATCAACTTTCCGGCCTAGTGTTCCACTGTGGATGGTCAAGAATGTCCTGACAGTGGCGACACATTAGGTTGCGTCACTGCTCTGCGGCGAACTGCACTTGAGGACCAGGCGTTGGCTGGAAGTCTGAGACTAACCTCTTCCAGATATGAGCATGGCAGCTAGCAACCTACACTGGCCACTTGCTCTGATTCAAAACACAGCCGAAGAAGGCAAGTCAGGGCCCAACTCCTTCAGAAGCTGCGTCTCTGGTTCGCTGAATGGCCTGCTTAGCAGCAGCATTGGCAGCTTTCAACCGCTTTCTCCTGACTCTTTAAAGCCGTGTCTTCGCCAGAAGGGAGACGACAATGAACGCACCATGTGAATAACGAGTGCAGTTCTTAATTGAACTCATCATGGCACGAACAACCGGCGAATCAAGCAATGAGAGTGTAAGGATGTGAGCGGCGAGGGCTACGAACAGAGTTTCGAGCGCATTCATCTAGGTAAGGACAACAAACATAAAGCGAAAGCAGGGTTTGAAGACAGTGCAATGTGACACAAATGGAACAAGCCCAGAGTCGTCTTTACATTGCACCCTGTGGCCAAGCCATCATTCACAAATTCAGTAAACGTGCGAAATGAGACTGTGCTCGTGTCTTTCTGCGCGTGGGTCTCATGAGGTTTTCTCACGAGGAACGCAACAATCACAACCGCGGCCAATTCAGGGTTAATTCCGTGAGTGCTGTATCCATCAGGTATGCCTGAGCACAGCGGAATCAACACTGAATTGAATGGGATTTGTCTTTCCAATCGTTTAAGATTTAAGACCAGGTTTTAGTCACCTGCCCACAGAAAAACAGCGACAGAGAGAGAGAGAGAGAGAGATTTTTATACATGTATGCTTATATAAATATGTGTTACATGTAAAGACAAGAGTTGTCACACGCATAAAGTTATAGATTCACATCAGTCGGATGCCTGATGGTTCGCGCGCAATGCATCGGGACATCTCGAATCAAACATGGACCTGAGGCAGCAGCAGCCGACCTGGATTGGTGTCCCCACCAAAGGACTCGTCGCCCTGTTCGGGTGGTCTTTGCACTGCAACTTTTCTCTCGGCACGAGCCTGCCGCCCTTCCAAACGCTACCTCAGTCGTCTCCCTGATGTATTAGCCCTTCAGGCCTGCCAGTGTTCATCCCAGTTCCGATTGAGGTCGACTCCACCAGGGCCGACACGAAGGCACCAATCGCCCTGCATTCCACAACGGAGCAGTCGCTTTTGCAGAAGTCATGGAGGACCTGCATTTACGAGGGCCAGATGAACGCATAATTTTTCGGTCGCTGCACGATGCAATGCCTGCGCTTTGAGAGATTCGCTCACGCCGAGGAGCTATCGGCCGAAAGGCCGGTTTCGCTTTACTAATCGAGCAAAGGGGGAGCTTTTCGATACTCAAAGTCATGAGTCACTCGGAAGACCACAGCAGCTAGTAGCCCTCCAGCAAATTGGAACAAACAGTACGTCAAGCAGTAAGTCAATAGCTGCAGGTTGTTAAATGTTGCGCTTTCTGTAGTGGCGATGCTCCATGTCACAGCTGGATTCAAGATGCCGCCGGAAATCGAGCTGGAAGCAAAGCCGCCAACCAAAACGCAGGCTCCGATCGCAAAGCCGAAGGGAAAGTTCTGCGATGATACAGCATCTGGAGTTTTAGCAGTTGCCACACTGAGCACCACGAAGGCGAGCAGTGATGTAAAGGCCGTCTCCACAATTAGAACCGCAATCCAGCTGTACGGCAGCTTAGGCTGCAAGGTAATCTCTTTCACCGTGAACAGACTCTGGCTCTGATAGGCGGCGGTGATAGCACCAGCCAAAGAGCCGGCGAGGAGCTGGACGGCCACATACGCCACACCGCGGCCAGCAGGACACTTCGCTCGACCACTGAAGACAACCGCAGCTGTGACTGCCGGGTTCAGGTGCCCGCCGCTGATGTCGTGCACTGCGTAGATCATGCTGGCAAGGGCTGCAAAGGCAGCCCATGGCGTCGAAATCGAGTGCATCACCATGTTCAGTCCCACGGTGATGCACAAGAGAAAAGTACCCAAAAACTCACTCAACAGCTTCGACAGAAGCGAGCCGCCCGCATCTCCAACTTGTTCCCGGAGTGGCTCTTCACCGTTGCGGAGCTCTGCGGCACGCACGGCCACAAACGTGGCTGCAGCCATCGTTGCACCGAAGAGCTGCATCCCAGCAAAAGCCAAGCCCCACGGCCCTGCAGCTGCAGCAGGAGCCCTCGGCCAGCAAAATGCTGAAGGGCACAGAAGTTGCACTCAAACGGCAGACCCAAAAAGTCTCGAATACAAGCTAAGCCTACCTGCACCTCACCGCCTTTGCAGAAAATAACTTTTCTTTGAAGCTTCCAGCCGAGCCACCGAGCTCCCACGATCTCCAGGCCAAGGGACACCGCTGGGTTGAAGATCCCACCGGAGATCCCACTAGCTGCATGGCCACCAGCAACAACGACTAATCCGATTGCGAGTCCGAAGTAGTGGTTCTGGTCACGGTCCGGGTTGTTGATCTTCGATGTACATACGGAAAGCACCACGAAGCAAAGCATGCCTGTGTAAAGGGCTTCCAGGAAGGCGGCATCCCAGAAGCCAAATGGGGGTATCGGAGACACACCGAGTGGCTGCTGGAAAATCTCATGGCAAGCGATGCCGGCAACAAGCCCAGCCGAGATCTGCAATAAAATGTAAGCAATCACCTGAGGCCATGGCGTTTTCCGTGTGAGGCCACAGGCGAAAGACACTGCTGGGTTGAAATGGCCACCGGAAACAGGGCCCAAGCTGTACACCAGGACTGCAAGCAAAGTCCCAATGGCGGTCCCACCAAAATCCGCGCTCTCGGCTATGCCAAAGACGGCTATGGTGAAGACAAGAAGATAGGTGCCAATAAATTCTGCCACGTAAGGGGCCATTGACTCTGCAAAGCTGCTTAGCTGTGTTGGTCCCGTTGTCGAGCCATATGTAGACAATGCAGAGGCATCCTTCTGTGAGGCCATGGAGGTCAGATCATACGAAGGGTTCAATAGCAGGATAAACGTGTCTTGAACCAAACGCATTCCGTCACGTTTGGCCGAAGTGCGGCTCGAATGACTCACCATGCGTGCGGAAGACCAACAAGCTGGCCTTCTATCTGAGCTGGACAAGGCGGCAAGATCGCCAAAAACAGCATGCAGATGACGGACCTGTTCTACTTGGACTCGCGAGCCCGGGTTGGCATTGACCACCAACAAGAACTCGCTCCTCTGCCTCGGGATTGAAAGTCCGAGTTGCAGTAATTTCTGTGTGAATACTTGCAGCCGCCAAGATAGCTTCCCCCCTGCTTGCTCCCCGCACACAACTACCAATCAGGCAAGTCAGGACCATGCAATTCTGCCCGAGCTTTGTCGTTGTCGCAAAGCGTCTTGGCCTTAGACACCCGGTCACTCCAGCTTGGCAACAGAAAAAGGGAAAATGTTCAAGGTGCAGCCGTGACGGAATGCTCTCAGCGACCGGCAAAGTGCAGTCCCGACTCTGCTGAAATCAATTCCCGAGCATGTTCCTGGCCACCAGGACAACTACACTGAACATCCCGTGCATTGGAATGTCATCGGCCGCGGTCCTGACTCGAGGCCCTGACTCATCACAAACCCAAGAGACGGCACTCGACTTGAAATGAGCACTCGAGAAACAACTACACTATCAATTGCTGTCATGGCAGGTTCAAGTTCTTGAAAAATTCTGGCTTCGAACTTCCGAACGAAGAACGGCAAAGCTTTGGGAACTGCGGTGCTCGCGACACTGCCCGATGCAACGAAAACTGCTTTTTGCAACCTGCCAAAGCAACTCTCGTCGAGAGACGACTTGTATCGCCACATCACGTGCTTCGGGGTGGTACGCGCAAGATTGGACTTCGCACAAACTTTGGAAGCACAACGGGCTTCTGTGCAGTGCAATTGTTGATCCTTGGCTGACTTGTCGCTCATTTCTTTGGCTGCCCTGCCCCCCCCCCCCCCGCTCGGCCATCTGCCAGCCATTTCCTGGCGCTTGTCCAACTTCTCCGGTTCGCAGTGTCCTGCGTTGCATCCAAGAGACTGCCAAGAACGTCCTTTTGGGCCATCAATCACATCAATCTCGCTTGATGCTCACCTTGAGCTTGTCAGGGTGATACGACAAAAGAACGGTTTTTGCAAGTCCTCCACCTGAATGCATTCCGGTCACATCGCCGTTCTTCTGGTACTGGCGTCCAAAGAACTTCAGAATCTCATCAATCACTATCACCGGAAACGAAAATGCCATGACCAACACCTCTCGTGGATTCTGGTGCTGTTGCACAAAAAAGCCGCACCTTGTGCATTCCATCTTCTCTGTTACACACCATGTGCTGACCAAACACCCAGTCGTGCCAATCTAGCGCGCAAACTGCAAAGACTTTGGCCAGGAAGGGCACGTACAGAATGACCTGCTGCCGTGCAATGCAGCCCAAATGTCAGAAGTGAAAGAGTTGTGACAAATGAGAATTACCCAGCACCGGAGTCAGAGATCGATGCCCCCACTTGCCAACTGGCAGCTCCAGTCGGGTCGAGCCTAACACATACAGCTTGTTTTGCGCCGAGTTGCAAAGTGAACCATCACAGAACCTTCGGGCAGATCCGAGAACCCACTGCAATCGCAATCGGTCGAATCTGTGGAAAGGTTCAGAGTTGAGAGAAGCTCAATGGCTTCCCGGCCGGGCCGCAAGCTGCCAGCTGTTGTTGCAGGAGTTCTTGTGCATGTAAACTTCGTCCATCAAAGATTTTCTGCTGTTTGTGCCGGGCGAGCCCTTCACTCGCTTGCTGGCTTGCGCGGGCTTCAGCCGCACAGCAGACAAGCAACACAGCTTGGACAGCAAACCCTAACAAATTCGATACATGATAGATGTCATCTCTGGTGCAGAGCTCAGGAGTGACAGTTGAATCCGACAGGGCCTGAAAAGAGCAATAACAGCTGTGCGCTGCACAAGTGCCATGAAACTGCAAGAAATGAAGTCGAGCTGAATACAACATGCACGTCGCCAGGACAAATCAAACAGAGAAACCTGTTGTCATACAATGGCAGACATGCAAACACGGGTGGCATTGCACCCATGAATCGACGTTGCATCATGTTGTGGTTTGAACGTGTACATAGGCAACGGCAGCATGCAGACATGGAGCGCTTGACTGAAGTTTCGTGCAGGGAGTGTGCCAGACGAGAGCATTGCGCACACCATTTCTGAGTACGGTCACATTGTACGTAACATGGCTGCGCGCAGCATGCATATGCAGACCTAAATGCAATGCGCCCACGGGAAACAGATACGGTCTCTCTAACCAGGCCACCCAAGCAGGCCAATACCAGCCAGGGATTTGTCCACGGAGACAGTTGCAGTAGGGATCCGTCCTCACTCTAAGCCGTCGTGTCCAATCAGCTTCAAACATGTCTGCGAATGTGCTCGTGCTGAACAGCTATCACCGTCTGCCCAAGAGCACGATGTGAACGCTACTGGCCTCTGAAAGCGCATTGAAGGCATTCAGCATCTCGATGATGACCTGAGGTGATGAGCGTCATCTGCACATCGGATGCGACGCAAGCTTCAAGAGACACACAAGGCACATGACATGCTCCCATGCCCTGACATGCAAAGGCACAGTCCCAGTGCGCCCAAGGCAAAGATCAAAACAACACGCCTTCATGCAAACAACCACCACAGAGGCTTTGAGTCTTAGCTTGTCGATCAAGACCCCGCACTAGAAAGGTGTGAACACGCCACAGCAGGGATCAAGAATTCTCCAGGATTCCCGACTACCGGGAGATAGACATCCGAATACAAAGAACAACTGGCAGCGAAGCCAGGAAACGAAGCGGGGCGCTCATAGCTTGGACCATAGAGCCGGCTGGAACGGGTGCAAGCAGGCGAAGCTATCTTGAATACACTAAAGCTTAACGAGGCGAGAGGTTGTACAACCCTTCAGTATTGCAAGAATTGTGTCTGCAGCTGCTCCATGGCAAAGTAGGCTTGACGATGCCCCCAAAACCGTTTAGCCCATTGACCGCTACACCCTGCTGACTTCCACCCGGCTGCTAGAACCGTCAGCGAAAGCGTTGACGCTTTCACTTTGCCAGCTGTGAAATAGCTGCATGGCTCACCATGAAACCTTGGCTTCCCGACTGCAGGACATGGCGGCTTCGTGCTGGAACCAGTCGAATGCTACTTAAGCTTTCTGCAGATTAGGAACGTCTGTCCCAAACAAGGCATCGGTAGAAAAGCTTGCCACTCAGCACATTTGCTCCTAAGGCGTGCGGGACTTGCGAATGTCAGTGGCTGTGTCCCGTACAATCTGTGCACATCGGTCTTGTTGCAAAGCCCTGGCTCCAGCCCATCAGCTCAGAGAGACTCACCAGGGTGTGACCTCGCATTGGCAAAGTCAGATGCACCGCCCGGCGCAGGTGATGCGATGCACACAGCTGTGAAGGGAACCATCGGGGCTCTCGTCAAAGCAGTACCAGTAGACGAAGATGCCCACCGTTGCGAGACCGACCTCGGACAGGCGGGAGGATCAGGGCTTTACGTTGTGACCTGTGACCTGCAGTGCAGATGGGCAGCGTAGATGCCAATCACCATGTATCGAAAGAACACCTGGGCGCAGGGGAAAGGGACCTCATGTTGCCTTACTACTAGTTACTATGACCGCACTTCCCATCCATATCGTCGCCCCGCCTCACCAACTTGACATGTCGACTACGCTACGTACACTCGACACCTAGCAGCTGGGCAATCTCCTCCAAGCCACCCAGCCAGAGATCAGGGCATCGTCTGATCGCCTGCCAATTGCTGAACGGGTCAGTGGGAAGTGCATGCAGAACATGACGTGTCTGGATAGATCCGGCCGACCATGTCGAGTCTTCCGTGTCTCAACCGCATCCTACACTGTGTCCTGGGCTGTCGGTACATCACGTCGAGGTCGGGAGGGTTGAAGCCAAGTGCAGTAGCAGGAAGGCCGTCCGTGACCAGGTTCACCTCATCAAGTCCAGGCCCCTCGTGGAATGCCTCTGCCTCCGCTCCTGTCTGTTGCTGATTTTTGTGCCAAGGTGCCCAAAGCAGCTGCACTGGAGCCAAGCCTGCTGTGGCTTAAGACTTGTACGGTGCTACGGAGTGAGAGGGTGAACAACGTCGTTTACCCTTCCTGCTTCTGGCTTCGGTGTGCCAGTTGGTTGGGCGCTGAGTCACTGAGGTTCTGATCTTGAGGGCAACCTCTCTCGTTAGTGTCTAGCGCCTGCGGATGCTTTATTCCACAAGCGCCTCTGCGACTGACACTGTGCTGAGCTGCAGATTGGAAGCAGTACTGGGAATGTCGGCTCAGAGGACCCGTCCGCTATTCCGAGAACCGACAGCGTGCGCAGCAGAATGAAGCCAGAGAGAGAAATTTCCGGACACTGACAACGGGTACATCTCCACATGCCAGATGGCGTGTAGGTGAGTTCGTGCCGTGCAGCGCTTCATCGAGGCGCGGCAAGATGAAGTCAAACTCCAGCCTTCCGGGATGCCCAAGGCTGCTGTAAGGAAGATGGAAGCGACCTCTCCTCGCCCAGAGCTGGCGCAGGTCCGGAGCATAAAAGTAGCAGGACATGCATGTACCCGCTCATGTAGCGCTGGCTGACCGGATTATGCAAGGGGGTCCTATGTTCGACGAGATCAAGTAGCGGATGAAAGCCTGGCAGCTCAGCGGCAGGAGGGCTGCAACAGGAGAGCGCTTCTTTAGTCCTTCATATTGTTGTAAATGGATCTTCCCTCTTCCACTGCAGCCACAATCGTCGAGAAGTTGTCATCAGCAAGAACCTCAACACTTTGTGCGCGTGTGTACTCTGGAGCAACATACAGGCAAAGCTGCAGATATCTCGGATGCAAGAGTCGCCTGCACGGCCTCCCCTCTTCGTGCTGGTTAAGACTTGTCTTGAATAAATGCTGTTATGCAGCCTGCACACGAGTTCTGCTCAGGAAGTGCAAAGCACATGAAGCTCAGGGCTGTGCCATGTCTGCTGACTCTTTGGCAACCTTACCCGCTTCAAGTCCCAAGGATATCTGTGCAGACGCTCCGTTCACGAAAGATTCATGCTGCCACAGTGCTTCTGTCCCTGTCATCCCCATCCTGAGCAGTATTCTGCATTTCGGGGCTTTTTCTGGATGCAAGTCCATATGAAAAAAGATGAACAAAGGCTTTTCGCAGCGCAACCTGCATTCGATCTGCTGGCTATTGCTTCCTTGCTCAAGCTTGACAGCGGATTTGGCACTTCCTGCCCTAAAGAAAACAAGATACTATATATAAGGTACTGGGTCAGGGCGCGCGATGCCGATGTCCGCCTGCTTAAGGGCTGGAGCATCGTTGACCCCATCGCCGGTCATTGCGACGATCTCACCGAGTTGTTTCAGGATCCTGGGGTTCAAGCACGCGACATTGAAAGTGAGCCCTCACCCGCAAACAAGTTGTGTAAGAAATGTGGCTGCCAGCCGCTCGGATGCGCGGCACAAGCGTGGGCGTTGCAAGCTTTTCTACGGCCCTAGGATGTTGCACTCTTCGAACTGTTGCGGCCATGCGGCTTCACGATCCTCGGTTGAGCCAGAAAGCTGGCGGCTACTCATAGCACAACGACTGCTTGAAACAACCAACCCAGATCGGTCGGGCAGAAACAACAACAGGAATGTTGCGGCCCTGGCATCAGCTGCTTGTGCTTCGGTTCTGTCCTGGAAAATACGGCTCCTTCGACATCTTTCTGCGCCATGATGTGTTGCAAGACCTGCAGGCTGTGAGCTGTGGACATCTCGGGCTCCGTGCGCATCACGTCGTGGCTGCGCCGTTCTGAATGTTCTGCTCAAGCGAGCAAGTTACGATGAGTGCTGTGCCCTGCGACTCTGCGCCTTCACCTTGTCGCCGTCGGACAAATTCTCGAAATCTTTTCCTGGACACAAGGATTCCTCGCGACATGCAACCCAGCATGGCTACGAGGCTCAACCATTCATTGCGATTCTTGAAAGCGGTTGAACGCTCGCGGGGTTGCTTCAATAATACACCAGGGAAACAGCTGCTACTCATCCATGCTGCCTGTGAAAGACTTGTGGACCTCGCAAGGCAAGTGAAGAAGCTTGCGCATTGGAAGGCGATGTCCGAGGCTGAGCAGCACACCAGTGTGTCTGTTCCAGCCAGAATCCCAAGCTTTCGAGCGATGGCTTCCTGAGATCTTTGCGGCAGGCTGAAGGTTTGGAAGATTATCAATGAGTCAAGCTGCCGCTGTGCCTTTGTTGTCTCCTGTGATCATCATCACCTCAGCAGAGGGATTTGCTGACCTGTCACATCCTGCCTTGCTAGGACTGCCTAGCGAGGACCGGAGATGGGCTCTCTGCATTCAACGGCACGAACAAGCGAACGAACACAGATCTGCAATTGCTGTCCAACCAATTGAAAATGGCACTGCCTGTGCTGTTCGTCAAAGGTTCGCTGATGCCAGCCGTCCGGCACTCCTGGATGGCCTCAAAACCTTGCAGGCTTGACGGAGCGGCACGGACAGAGCTGCGCACTCAACATGCGAGGACACAGAATGCAACCCAGCTGCATTCTGGACGAGGCGGGTCTATGATCCCAACGAGTCCCACAAAAGTCAGGTCTGTTTCCACCTTGCAGGAATTTCAGCATGGGGAAGTCTCTTATGAAACCTCAAGCACTGCGGTGCCACCTCTCCTCGTCTAAACCGCAGCAGAACAACAGTGCTACTCATTTCCATTTAAAAGAGCACTACTGTCGGGCACATGCACTTGAAAACGCAGTGCCGCGGGTCTGCTCCAACATCCGGAACACTGCTTCCACCCGAATGCTGGCTATGCTCCACGACTGAAACGCATGTGTTGTCAGCCCGAGCGAAAAGCAGCTACAAGCATGAATTCTGGGCTCTGTCCAGATATCTGTGCAGGGAAGATGTCAGCCCTGAGCGAAACAACAAGCTGTAAACAATTTCGACATCTACAGTCCCTTGGCGTAGCCCATCCGCTTCAAACCATTCAGCGCGAAATCCAGTGCCGGCGGATTCCTTCGATGAGCGCACGGTGTGGGAGCTCTCCACTGACTAGAAATTTGGGCAACTCGAGTCCGCAAAGTGTTCGATCAACGGGAATGTGTGTATGTGTGGGGTTTTAGCAGTCATCGGCTAGCAGTTTCAAGCTATCAGTTGGTCGTCGATCTTCAATGACAGGAACCTTGGTCGCAACCTGATCACCTCAAAACAACTGCCGAAGTCTTGCTGCTAGTGCACTCGATGGTGCCCGGGATAGGTGGCAGCTTCCCATCAGCCATGCCGCGGATGTTTTTTCGAAGCACCTGCCGAGGCATTGGGGAGGAATAGCAGAAGATTCGAGAGGCGGCTGCCCAGCCGTCAAACCAAAGGGGTTGTCAACACGGCCAAGCAAGGCCTTGCCACTCCGTGTTTTGGGCAACTGTTCCACGACCTTGGCCAGACGAATGCAGCAATGGGTGCAAAGCGAAAATGCATCGACCCGACACGAACTGCCACAGCGACCTCGGCGGCTGCTAGGGAGGCAATGGCCCCGATGTCGTGGCGGACCCGTGCCTTGACATCTTGGACCTCGAGTGCTCGCAACGCCAGCTCTGGAATACGCGTCTCATCCCGAATCACTTCCTCCATGCACGGACTGAGGGCTGGGCGATGTCTTCTTTAGTGCGGGATGTCGCATCCATAAGCACCAACAGAGCAATGGGCACCTGAAGAGGTTTCTCCTTCTCTAGATGTAGCGGTTCATACCCCCCTCTTCTTTACATCTATATGTCTATGCGCCAACGGGTCGATTGCCCAGGCAAGTGCAGCAGCATAAACCACAAACCTTGGGGTAAACTGCAAAACCTCGTTCTTGCACACTGAAACCACGGAAACATCGCCATGTGCGGTGTTTTTGGCCTCTCAGCCATCGCAAGACACCCACAGACAGACAGACAGACAGACAGACAGACAAACCGACCGACCGACCGACAGACGGACAGAGGGACAGACAGACAGACAGACAGACAGACCGACGGACGGACAGACAAACAAAAAACAATTGACACGCCGAATCACAGAAAATGCCACGCCGGCCATGGTTTACACAGGCGACCTGCAATACCAACACGTTTTGCAGAAAGCTTAACACACGTTCAACACCGTCCTCCCACTGTAGCAACACGCATACACAGTTGCGTTTAAACCGTGCGACAACTCCCAACCCGTGCGGATCCATATGCATGCAGGAATGCAGCTGTCTTCAAGTTTGAATTCCTTGATAATAAATAGTCGAATGACAAATCAGAATAAAAAACTGGTCCAACTGCCGCAAGAGAAGTCTGCTTCGCCGACCTGGCCCTTCAGCTCATCAGCGGCACCAACGACGGCGCAATCGTTTATATCCTCAGACAAAGATCGCAGTGGGAGGGCTGAAACATGCTGAAGGCGTCCCTTACCTGTGATCTGCATGCTTCTTTACGTAAAGCTCCAACCCTCAACATCACTGTCATCTTTTTGCCGGTTGAGTCGCTGGATGTGCCTTGATGCATGCTTCTATCTGCCCGCAGCTGAGGCGATGTGCTGCCACGTTAATCACATCATCGCTGCCTCGATCCGAATCGCTTCGCGGAGCCTTTATTTCTAGGACTCGCTGGAGTTCGGCAACCCAACACTTCATCATCATGCAGTAGTAGCTCAGAGCCTATATGGAGCAAGTTCAACCCCTTGGACAGGATTCCGGGGCAATTGAGTTTCGGAGCCTGAGGAGTTGCTGGGCTTTGTGCCTATACGTCCACGAATTTACAGAATTTACATATCACTCGGAATGGGTAATGCCGACCAGGATGCGTTCCAGGACGCTGACGTATCCATGGTCGTCGATTACACCGGAATCGCCGCTGTTGTAATAACCGGGAAACTCTTCCAGGTAGCTTTTCAGAAAACCTGCCAAGGAAGTTCACTTGAGACTGGCAGGATGTTCGGCGAACCACGCTTGCTTTCACGAAAGGGGTCGCAAGTTGCAGCAGCTACGAATCATTCATGTGCGAGGCAGTCAGAAGTCAGAACATCCTGCCGCTCAACCCGATGATCCGATAGTCACGCGGGCGTTTGTTTGCTCTTTCCGCATCTCTTAAAGACGCGTAGGACAGCAGCGCGTCTTTTGGACAGGGCGGGTCTCAAGGTGTGCTGTTGGGACCGCAGCAGGTCTTTCAGAGTCGGTTGCGGTATTCGGCTTCTGTCTCCTTCGCTGCGCGGACTGTGCATGCAGGTCTCCAAAATTCTCGTAATAGTTGTTAATAACTTTTTGTCCGGCTTTGCGAATTCAAGCAACCACAGATGTGCTGCCGTGTGCCTTCGTCATTGTTCCACAGGCCCGGAAACGTCCCAGGCGGCAAAGGCAACTTGACAACCAGGTGGCCAGCCTTCGCTTTCAGAAATGCAGCAAATTTGGCCGATCGCTCAACCCTTTTCAAGTCTTACCCGTTCTGACTGTCGCAAGATGCGATAAAGAGGCATTCACAAACTCAAGAATCATGGCATTACGACGGGTGGCGTGGTTGGGCTCTTCCATGATGTGCCCGCGCTCATCGAAAACCTTGACATCATGAACATAGGCTTTCAGTCGGCCGAGCTCCCACCATGAAGTCGGACCGGCTTCGAACAGACGCACGACACCTTGAGCTTAGCCGCGGCAACATCGTAGCCGAATAGCGGTAAGCCGGCGCTACCGTCCTTCCAGTCAACTCTGCAACTCCCTTCTCGGGCCTGCATCCACTAAGCAGTTGAGCCCAGATCTCCTTTCGTCCAACCGAATCCTCTTGCAGGCCGCAGATTGGGTGCCCTGACAGGTTTGCAGAATTTTGGTCGGGCCGGAGTCTCATCGAACCAGGCCTGTTTCTGTCTGCCACCAGTTGTCGTAGTAGCCAACATTCAGTATCGACGCATAGAAACGGCTCCTTAGCTTGCATCTTCAGCCGTGCTGCGCTCTGAAAGCCCGTCAGGTGTGACCCAGGATGGAGGAAAAAGCTCTAGGTCTCTAGGTCACCATCACTGGTCATGATCGCGAAGTCGGTCTAGATCGGTGGTCTCAAGACCAGTCTCTGTAGCCCCCAAGCAGTCCAGGCGGCGTTTCCGGATCGCTTCTCTCACCGGCAACGAACAGGGATCGAAGGCAAGACAAGTTGTACTTTCCTCAGAATGGAACGGCTTGCATGCCAAACGTCCATCAACTGTTGATTCAGCTTGAGCAGGGTGGCGAACGAGCGCGCCATCAGGGTCCACACGTCGGATAGCTCGAAGAGCTGTTGGTGCGAGGAACAAGGCTCGGACCTGATATTCCTGGCCAGGCGCAGGTGCTATACCAGGGTCGTTGCTGAGAAAAAGATTGCATCTTGCTGTAGGAGAATTCTATGTTTCGCACAGAACAGTGGCTTTACAATCAAGGTTTAGCGCCTCGACCACTCGCCAGAAGGCACCCGCATCTGGTGTGCCGATAGGCTTGCCTTCATACAAGACCTCCAGGGACCATGGCTGTCAACATGGACTGCGGCTAAATCTCTGTCAGCACAGTTCTGTGTCTCACGCTCTCTCTGAGATTCTGGCGGTGGCGCATCCCTGGAGCAAAGGCCCATAAACGATGTATGAGTGGCCTACGACCTTACTTCAGACTTTCCGAAGGAACTCCACCTCAGTAGAGATGTCAGCTTTCAGCAAGGTTGCCCAGCCAATGTCTGAAGCTGCCCAGTATGCTTCACCCGGAGCCATGTTCATGAATTGTGCCATCGACGCTTTCAAGGCCACCTGGCGTAGCCCGTTCAGCTCCGGTGCGCACGACACCCCCCCCCCTGACAGCCAAGGCTCTGCGTATCCTCCAGTGTCTCGCAAGACACCTTTGGGTTTACCGGTAGAGCCAGAAGTGTATAACCTCACGTTGCAAAGAACGGCCCAACCACCGCTGGACAACTTCACTCTGACCCGGATCAGGCAGGTCACATGTACAGCGGATCAGTTGCATCCACTTGTTCCTTACTGTCACGAGCGTGGGCCGTGGTTTCCTCCCCTTCCGCATTTGTTGTAATCGTCCGATCGAGACCAACATCCCGCACAAAGACAAGCTGTAGTGCAGGAACTGCTAAACATGTTCGGTTCTGCCCTCCCTAAGTATGTTTTACTTTGTTCTTTAATGTGTGTGTGTGTTTATGCGTGTATATATATATATATATATATCAACCGCGCAGTATTCGCACGAGCTGCGCAGGCTACTTCTTCTGCAG